AAACTTCAGCCATGGACAGAGGAAATTATAACTCTATAGTGTGGTAGCAAATTCATATCTTAATGGTACTGATTATTACAGGATTTTGCACGTTTTAGTGTATTTACAACAAATCAAAAACATTGTACATTGCTGCGATGTTGCTCTACTTTAGAAACTATAATGTATCTTATCCATATATGTCAACAATCTGGATATGTAATAGCAGAATCTTTTAGTGTGCTTCTGTAGTGCAATTAACTGACTTTTGAACTAGTTAAGAGTTATTTACATGTGAGGGATTTTACAGTGTTACGGTGTACCTTTACACCCATTAATGGGTTCAAACGAAAGATTGTATTTCCCTGAAAAATATGATTGTAATATTGTACTATTCTTATTTTCATTTATATTACTCCAGACAAGTTATGTTTCGTATAATGGATGACTGTACTGTGATCCACCAAAAACACATAGAGTTAATATATGAGTCAAGCAAGTTTTAGGAGTCAGCTAACTGAATTTTGGTAATACATGGAAAAATTATTTGACTTAATTAGATAAAAGTTTTCAAATATGGCTGAGATGGTTACTTGTGTTATGTCTTTCTGTTGAAAACCTATGACTGGAAAAATAGATAAAATATGGAAAGGTAAATGATTAGAAATGTATAAAGCTATTATTGGAAAAAGTGAGAAGAAGTATTGATCCTGTTTCAGGAGAGATACAATATCTGCTGCACACTAAGGAGAGATAGTGTCCTTGCCTTTATGGCAACTTTGTGGCTTCGTTTCTTAAACAAAGGGTAGACATAATCATTTTACAACTGTACAATATCATGCAATCCAATACAACTAATTGCCAATAAATACTACCTTTGTGGAGCTTATATTTAATGCTGGAGTGGGAAACAATTACTAAAACACTTAAAAATAAAATGCAAACCAATTCATCAAACACTAAGACAACCTAAATATTAGTTACTTAAACAATTGTGATTTTGTCTGCAGTAATTTAGACTGCAGAACAGACTTTAATGAAACAAAAATAAAGAGCAGAGCTATTTCACACTGCAAAGTCCATATATGTAGTGTGGCTTTGGTTTGGGCTTTTATCTACTATTTAAATTAACCAGAGGACCAGATGGGGAAAACCCCGTATTGTTGTTGGATTGCATTATACTGAACATGTGTTCATTAATTGTAGACATCCTCATTCCAATGCTGGAATGAGGATGTCTACAATTAATGAACACATGTTCAGTATAATGCAATCCAACAACAATACGGGGTTTTCCCCATCTGGTCCTCTGGTTAATTTAAATNGACTGAGGAGTTTCAAACAGGCGTTTGTTAAATCATTTTAAGATTGGCTTTAATCAATGTTTGAAAATGAATTCTTCATATATGATAAATGAGAGGTAACATTTTATTTATGGTATTATTTCCACATATTTCTCTCCATTCTTCCTTCTGCCAACGGTGTCGCAGTTTCTCGTCTCTCCCGTTTTTGTGCTTAGTGCGCATGGGTTAGAGTTTGCGTGGAGGACCGCACGTTTTCCCGTCAAGTTAGTATTTTATAAATCGCAAACATTGCGTAGAAACTGGCGTACGCCATTTTTTGAGCGTATATCCCTTTATAAATGAGGCCCCAGGAAATGATGGATACACGGATCGTGTTCAAATCAATAGGCACGCAATGACTCTAAATAATAATGATCACGCCACCAAACACACATTCAAACTAAAGGAACCAGCCTGTTTGGAAATGTAAGAAGTAGAAAGTACAGGTATTTGCGTTCAACATGTAAGAAGTAAAAGTAAAAAATCGTAAAGTAAAGTACTGATACCAGAAAAATGTACTTAAGTACAGTAACAAAGTATTTGTACTCCACTACTTCCCACCTCTGCACACTGGTCTACATTCATCTGTATTAAAGAGAGAGACCCTGCTTTGGTGAAAATGCCCTTCCAAATTCTCTCGGCTCAACACTAATATTCAAATAATTGTTTTAATGTTACTCCTCTTCTCTGACTTCTTCCAGGTGACTTAGTGGAGACCTCCTCGATGTCCTTACAGGATTCGATGCCTGTGCTCCCGATGTCCGATGGCGAGGAGCTGATGCCGTGCATCCCCGAGGGTCTCAGTTCAGACCTCCTGATGGACATGGAGACAGTTCTCTCTGGCTCGCACATGGACAGAGACAGCCTGCTCACCTGGCTATAGACACACCAAGCCACCACCCAACAATCATCAAATCTTCATGACATGACGGAGAATTTTGGAGAATCTTCAAAAGTGGTACAGACCAAGGTCACTGAGAGAGTATGCTACTGCTGTGTGATGGATCCCTAACACTCCTCGCACGTTGAGGAAAGACAAAGCCTGACTCTCGCAGGCGGTGGTAAGCTGCTGGTGTTTTCCTCTTTTTGGGCCTTGGTCTTACGGAGATGCATGACGGAGCATCCATATTTTTACAACGCTCTTTCCTTTTAGTCATCGGCCTCAAATGATGCTCCCCACGTCTCTTGTAAAGTGCGTCACAACTTATTTTAGAGTGCAGTTATCTTTTATTATCCCCACTTGGGTGATTGAGTTTGCAGTAAACTTTTAAAAACACAGTGTCAAGTCAATAAAGTCTTCATGTAGCATTTACATAAATGCAAGAAAGACTTGTTCAAATAGCATTAAAGTTGTTTTAAAGGATATCATATCCACATTACCCATTGTTACCTCATTTAGCTTGTGGGATAAAAAGAGCAACATCTAGTGCTACTACCTCTAAGCAGCCTAATACTTTATGCTCGCAGTCCAAAACATGTTGTTAAGAAGCATCAGGACTGAGAGCAAGAGATCAAAGAAGTTATTATGATTTACACTACATTGGTTCCATAAAACCAAAAATGTCTGCTCTTATAATCAAAGCTCACACTATCACTGCTTCACATAAACATCAGGGTGAGAGGACGCACCCTTGTGGTGAGCCAGTAGAAGATCAAAAACACTAATAGAGATTTTACTCACAGACTTTAAAGGTGGGGTAGGTAAGTTTGAGAAACCGGCTCGAGATACACTTTTTGTTATATTCCATGGAATGCTGTGAACATCCCGCTAGCAATGAATATCTTAAGTGCTTTGACAAAAAATACATAAAAAAATATCATCTGTGGAAGCCGTGGTACTGTAAAAAGCACGACCAATCATCTGAGCCGGCCCGACTAAAATAACTGGATGGCCTACCTGCCTGTCAGCCTTCCATCTGTGCACAAACTTATCTCGTGCCCTCATTGGTCATGTGCGCGTTCGTGTGTGTTGGAGAAGGGGCTCTGTAAGGAAGTGGCAGATTTTTTTCCGGCTGTGTATTTTCAAATTCTTGCGCACTCGAGCTGGTTTCTCAAATTTACATACCCTACCTTTAATGATACAATTAATACTGTGGATGTGAAGCAATACCAGTTAATTTATAATCCTCTGACAAAGTAATAAAACTACTTTTCACACTTTTGGTGAATGAGATAATTCTGTAAACTACATACCAGAATGGCGGCGTCATCCAGTGAAAGAGAAGTAAGAGTGTAGCCTGATGTCATTCCATAGATTTAGTTCCCTTCCAAAATAAAGAAATTTTGTGCTTTAATCTAATGAGATAAATAAGATACATGAAATCGTGTCAAGAGATATTCGCACAAGCCTAAGGACCTATAATACAACTCAAAACAACCCCCCCCCCATCAACCACCAAATCGGAAAAATGGTTATGCTCCTATGCCTCGTCCGCCAATCTAATGCGTGCGCATTCGCATCGCTGCCGAATGTCGATGAATGGAGGCCGCTGAAAGGCCAGTTTCCACAACATCGACCGTCTGATCGTAAATATATCAACATATGCATTGTCGCATCTTACTGTAATCGAACAGGGCCGTGTCAAGACTACATCACCCTCCCGACGGACAATCGAAATTTTTAATACAAATTTCTTACGAGACATAAACCGGGTACACAAACTATTTCTGTCGAAAGCTCTGTGTCTCAACCATTACATCACCTCCTAGCACCCCGCTGCTTCGTCCACCTTGTCTGTACACCTGGACCTCAAAAAAGGTCTTACAAGACTGACCGCGTCAACCCCCTGTAACCCTAAAAATGTAACACCATGTTAAATTTTATATATCAATCCCTTCTACTACTTTCTATATTATCCGTTAATATGATTTAAAATAACGTAATAACGGCTATTATCTCACTTACGTGTCTAATTATATAACCGTGAGAGAAGTAAAACACATAACAACATATACACACAGACATAAAAAAACCCATACGGTAACAGGGAGTATTATAAATTGTATATACGTGTCATATTTAATATTGATTTAATAAATAACGTATTAAATCTCATTAACGTGTCTACAATGACAATAAGATTTTATTTAAGGACTAGTACAAAAATAAAAAGGACAAAATGTCGAAGAAATGTTGAGATATAGTGGTTGTATAGTGTGTATAGGTGTGTGTGGTGTGGTGTGTATATTTTGGTCTGCCGTGAAAATTCTCGGTGAGAGAGAGAGTGACAGAGGAGAAAGATAAGTGAGAGAGGTGAAAGAGAAAAGTTAGTGAGAGAGTGGAAGAGAAAAAGTTAGTGAGAGAGAGTGAAAGAGAAAAATTAGTGAGTGAGAGAGTGAGGATGTTTACCGACCCTCCCAGGGTTTTTTTTCTGGACGGGTTCGACATCCGTTTCATAAATGACACCATTATTTTAGACGGGTCATACATTGGTATGTGTCGGGTTTTTACAACTCTGACTTTTTCTTTTATCTTTTTAAGGTTTCGGTCGTCGTCGTCACCAACAGTAGTTACTGTTTTTTTGCTTAGTTCAG